GTTTAAAACGGTGCATACGCGTCCTAAACCGTCTCTGTTGCGTCCGGTAAAAAAACGACGGAACCTATATAGGTATAATATAATATAACATTATGAACCCACAGCAGAGTACACGCGTGCGTAGGTGAAGTGTACCGTTTACGAATAAGTTATAATATTATATAATATTACTATATATTATGTATAATAAATACGGTACCTAATCATTCATAATAATAATTTTGATAATAAAATTAGTCTAACACAAATTATTCTTGAAATAGTCATGTCTGAAGATAACTGCTATAGTTACATTATCACTATAATATATTATATTTTATTATTCATAACTTAAATACTGCGAATTGCGATATATTATAAATTATAATTTATATGTATGTATATAGCTGAGACACTAAAAAAACAAGCGACAACTATAATGTAAAATATATAAAAAAGTTTATCAATAAAATCGCTTCTTTAATTGCAAAGTCTCCATATAATTAAAAGACGTTCCTAAAAATCTTAAAATCCCGTAATTATAAGTTAAATAGAGTCTAATAAATCGTATGCTTAAGTTCTGCTCCTACAACAAAGTTTAAAACTTCTATTTTGACTATGATCGAGAGTTTTAATAATAACAATTAATGTACTCGTATTATATTGTTATTTCATATTATATTGTATCTATTATATTAAATGATTTCTATTTTAAAATTCTGCAAATTCGTTAAATTCTAAACTTTCACACTGCAAAGTACCTATAGGTACCTAAATAAATAACAATATCTCCGGAGAGATTTTACATTACATTAAATTGGGAGCTGCAGGTTTTACAAAATAATAATAATATTCACTCACTTATGTACCTATTGTAATTTATTTTAATATACTCGTAAATACGTAAATCCATGCAAAGCCTTACACGGGTGCTTATTTTAGTATTTAATGTATATATATATATATATATGTATCGTCAGCATATTTGGATAAAAATATATTATAATGTAGGTACACCCATACTTGTGTTATATTATTGTAAAACCGTTTAAAATAAGTAGACTCTGCAGACGTCTGTTAACTGTATCGAAACGACGCGCCGTGATGACGCATTTCAATCGTCGGATTGATATCTATGAACTTGAACGAAATGAAAATGCGCGGCTATTAGTTAAACTGGTCTTAGTTACGTAAGTAATTTATTAAACAATATATATAATTATATTAGGTATCAAATGAACGCGGCTTTTGTTCGAACGTCTTTCAACATCGTTTATAACACGAATGATAATATTATTTAATATAATATGTGTACCTACACATACATTTATATACCTATGTATATTATTTATGTCATGTAGTTTTCGACGCATGTATTCGAACACATAGGCAGGTACGTTCTGATATCTTTATAGTAGTGTAAAAAGAGGTATATTAAAATAAAAAATATTTTTACGATTAACGAATACAAACTACCTACTAATAGAGTACCTACTAATATGTAAAATGATTATATACGTAATATTTGAATAAACCCATGTAAAATAATTAATAAACGAATAACTCATACACTATTAATGTTTACCTTGAGATTATGCCAAAACCATCATTGCAAAATGAATTCGACACTACAGAATACTATAATATCCAGGTGGCCATTGTTACAGAGGACTTATCATAAGACACTTATTAAGGGGTAACCGTTTAGATATTAATACGTATACATATAGTATATATAGTATTGCACGATAATAGTTAACTAATTGATAATTAAAACTATATAATCTACACAACCTAACTAATACGCTATATATCTATAGGTACCTATTTAAGTACATCACGCGTTTTATATATACATTATACATAGGTCATTTAAATATAAGTACTATAATATGTAGTAGGTATGAACATTGTATTTACATATCATACGTTTTTTAGATACGCTTCAATGTTTAGAACTGAAATGTTGTATTACTTCAAATTTTAATTTTGTATGTACATTTAACTTTTAATTATAAAATAGGGTTTACTCGGAACTTTAAATTAACAATCAATACACATCACTTTTGATGATATGATAATTATTATAACAAACAATTTATAAAAATGAATCTATATACATTATAATGTACTTATAAAAGCTAACCTACAGGATTCTAAGTTATATATTTATTTTATCATTTTTGAATCCTAACCTAACCTACATATAATATAATTTATACTCTACTTTAAACATAAGATTAAACTAAACTTAACAATTATTAAGGAGACAAAATATTTCGATTAACATGATATATATTATATATTGTGTATAAATATTATACAACATCGCGATTAATCGGTATGTATTGTTTATATAATTGTTTTATAATTTAATACGACAACAACACGCAAAAATAATGAAAAGTAAGAACAGAAAATTTTAATTAACTAACCATATTAAGTAGGAACTTAATGACATTTTTATTAATCGATACTTTAATTTATTTATTTTTTATTATTTTATATTATTAGTGGGTACCTACAAATTATGATATGCGTATAAAAAAAATTGAAATGAAACAATATTTCTATGGTATACTTTAACTACATGGAATCAATAGTTTGTTTTGGAATATACAATTATATAGGTACACTCGTGAAAAATGAAAAATGAATAAAGAAATAAATAAAACAAAACCGTACAGTCCATGTGGAATAAGTGTTATTTAGAGTTAATTTATTTTTATTTTTAGTTATATTATTGCAATAAAACTAATAAAATATAATAACAACGATTTGGCTAGTCCCCGTGCAGTATACAAGTATATACATGTATTCATGTATATAAGTTGAATAAAGTAAGAAATATATGCCACTTTATAATAAGGGTGGGCACAATATAAGTCCCTAGGATTTATATATTTGCCCCGCGCGTTTTGCTTAATTGATCCATAGCATGCGCTCGTCAATCGCGTGATCCAGCGCAATTTTATTGTTATTCATACGCGCGCACACATATAATAATATATTATACATTTCCTCCCCGATGTAGTTGATACATATAAAATATATATAGTATTGTATATTTTATTTCTTTGTAACAATGTATTTCTCTACTGGCAAATAACCCTTTCGACTACTATTTTCCCCCTTATTGTGCAACAGCGACCCCATATTGTGGAAATGTGCACCTATATACATATATATATATATATATATATATATATATATATATATATATTACCCTACCACTCAAAAATTTTTTTTACCTATGACCGAATATATACATACGCATATATTATATAAGCTCTACCGAACACTCCCGCGTTAGTATATGTATTTACCTATATCTATAATGTATATATGTATTTTAATACCTATCTTATATTTTTTGCCAGTCAGAACTGCTATAAGGTTAGGCTCGGTACCTATATACTCATATATATATTATATTTTATAGGTACCATATTTAATATGGTTTTCATAATTGCGGTGGGTACGATTTTTTTATTTATCTAAGCATATTATTGAGAACACAACTATAAAATGACGTTAAAATCCGTTAAGATATACGTTCTCTATGAACACAAATAATTCTAATAAATAATACACGTTACATGTAGGAAAAGTTTCAATGCGTGATTAACGATTAGGTAAATATAATATATTTATTTAACCTATACGCTTATATAGTTAAATGATATGAAAATATGTGACTGATTTTGTCTGACATAATGATATAATGTTAATAGGTATATTTAAAAACAATGTATCTGATATGATTGATGCCATAAATTATGTAATATCTACAAGTATCGCTATATTATCAAAATATATGCGATTTCAACTCTGCGATGATATAGGTACCTTTCCATAAATATGTCATACTTATGAGTGTATAATATGTACACGTGCGATTTGAACAAGTGAAAATAAATGGGATGAATACGATTCGCGGACGATGTTTCCGTTTGGGTATAATAAAATCTGTCAAGGGTTTTATAAATGCGATTGTCGTCGGGATTTGTCTGTAAATGCAACACGTGTTTTCCGACCCCAAAAGCTGCTCTTCTACGGTGCATTAAAGGGGGAAAATCGTCGGCGCGTATATTATTTACACGCGAAAACGGTGGGTAATTCTATACGCGATGAGCTTTTACGTTTATTTCGTGTCGTTTTTCATATACATCATACCATTCCTAAATAATATATTTATATATACAATTTGTAAATAATACATTTAGATAGTTTTAAAACCGTCAATTACGGGGTTACGTGTATATTATCCGGTGTATCCCGAGCCGGGTGTTTAGTCATAATTTTCGAAAGTGTTTCATGAAGATTTATACGTATGTCCATCTACATAATATATAGGTATTAGAATAACTTTATACAGACACTCGTGTCGTGCACAGGAAACGCAATTTGTCTGCATCGAACCTTTTGGATTCGTTTATGCCTATATAGATAATATAAAATTATAGGGTTGCGCCCTATGAGAAATTAGAGGTATTAACCGGAAAGAATAAGCGAGCAGGGGTCAAATTTTAAGAATCCGCCCACAATACCTATATTATACCTATACATATAAATAAATGTGTGCAGTGTGTTCGGACATCGCAAAGGCGAACGCGTTAAAGTCCTTAATATATTTGCGGGCACACGTGAAACATGTATACACGTCAAGATGTACGAATAATGAGGTACCCATATAAATCTTCGAAATTACCCACAAGCATCTATACACACCTTCGAATATACATGTCTAAACAGAGCGTATATATTATATATCCTAGCGGATTTAACTATTTTTATATATATATATACCTATACCAAACAAATTTATGGTTACATCGAAATACGGTTACCGCGAACAAGTATGCCTATTATATATTATACCTAAACCTTCGTCACCGCCAATAGTTTTATAAATATATCGTTGCAACGTATAATATACGTATATACCTAATAGCTGTTACGATTTACCTAAGTGCGTGTAAAATATATCATAATATTATATACTATCGTAAAGCCCTTACCTGGCGGTCGTGCAGTCTCTGTACAGCGTGTCGAAGTCCTTGCACGAGAGCAGCTTGCACCTGTTCACGCCCGGCTGTATGGCGCCCATGCCGCGGAGTATGCGTACCTGTTCGACGTTGCACACGAGCGGCACGATGTCGAGCCGCTTGAGCTTGGTGTAGACGGTGTGCAGTCCGCCGACCAAGTGCTTGAGGAACAGCTCGAACGCCTGCGGCAAGCACAGCATCGTGTCGCCGGCTATCATGAACGCGGCCACCTTCTGGCCGCGGTACTCGACCAGCTTGCACTCGTTGGCGGCCGGGTCGGTGCTGCTGATCGGCGGCGGGCTGTTGTACGACCGCGGCGGGTGTTGCTGCTGCTGTTGCTGCTGCTGCAGCGACGGGTGCTGCTGCTGCTGTTGCTGTTGCTGCTGCTGCTGCTAAGTATGCGCTACCTGCCACTGCCGTTGGTTCAATGTGCTGCTGCTGTAGGCCGTCGGACGACGCGGACGGCGGCGGTGGGGCTGGCGGACACGTTGCTGCTGCGTCGCTGCCGAGCCGGTGAATCGCGCCGGCTTCGACAGTCCATGATCTGTCGTCGGTGCTGCGGGTGACGCCGATGTGCGTGTGTGTGTGGTGCCGAGCGCGGTCGACGTCTACGCTCTGTTACGCGGCCGCGGTGTTCACGGTATAACTCGATGATGTGCCCGCTGCGGGCACCCTATGCAGACGTGACAATAATGGCCATATGACGGACACGGCCGCACTGCGCTGCAACGGTCACCATCGCGATGCGCAATGCCTGCAGCCTGTCGGGATCACTAATACTGCACTCGCGCGGGTGCGCGCGGAAACGGATATTCCGGCAGTCGGTTTCCGGATCGAGTCGACGGCGGTACAGCTGCGGCAGACAGTCGACATGCGCGGACAAGAAAATCGGCGACACCCCGAATAACGACGGTTCCCCTGCCACGCGCGGCGGCGGCGACGACGCAGATCGCGGACACACGCGCGCGAAAATGCGGAAGTAATGTACGCGTGCGAGTGTGGTACACGACAATGTTTTGAAAATACAATATACTATTATTTTGTGCGGTGTGCCGGACGGCGGTTTGCGACCGGGCGGCGGTACGTTGAACGCGACTGTTGCGGGCGCGGCCGTCTGCGGCTGCTTCTGCTGCTGCTGGTGCTGCCTGGTGCGCTGCTGCTGCCGCTACCGCCTCGTCGCGTTCCGCTTCGCCGAATTTCCCCACCGCGCCGGTCTCGCGCCTGGCCGGCCGAGCCGCGGCGACGCCGCCCGCGGCGCTGAACCCGTCCGCGCGGCCGGGCGCCCAGACTCGCCCCGTCCGCCACGCTGTAATGATGCCGGCGGCGGCAGCGGCGCGGCGGT